CACACAGTTATCTTATATGCGAAGTCAAAAAAGTGGCAAAAAATCATATAAAATTTTGCCGATCATAGAATCGACATCTATATAATTTTATTTGCTATGATCGACATGTGACATATCCGGTGACTGCTATTATAACTCAAAAATAAGCTGAAAGTTATTTGTTTTATAAAACCAGTAAAAATAAACGAGTTGTCTGTAATACTAAGTATGCTTATATCACCATGTCGATCATTTTTTGATCATATACTTTAAAGCTTCGAGCAATACAGCATGAACTGAAAAAAACAATAAATATGATATTTTAGAATATGAATAATAAAATTCTGAAACAGTAAATCAAGAGTAAAAGTTATGCATAAGTTAGCTTTGCCTGAATTAATTAAGTAAATTACATAATAAATTAAATATTTTAGACTTCAAAAATTTGGGCAAAACCATAAAATGTATGACCTAATTATGAACATTGTATTTCACATTTTAGCTTTGTATCAGTTTTTGAATAATTTATATATAAATTATATTATATTATTTTATTTAATATTTTAGGTAATGCAGAGTGTAACATAAATGTAATACAATCAAAAAAATTGTTAAATATAAAATCAGTAATTTATTGTAAATAAATTTTATTAAATCTTTAACTTTTAATTTTTAACTTATTAAACTTTATTTCTTAAATTCAAAAATGTCATCTTTTGATATTAATAATTGTAACTTTATACAAATGACATTTGTAAAGAAAGAATTAGAAAATTTCAAATAAAACAAAAATTTCAAAAACAAGTAAAAATATTATAACTATTAATATGTTACTTTATCATTATAATCAATATATGCTAAATAAATCATCAAAAATTAAAAGTTATCAATATTTAAAACATAATATTTATGAAGCAACATCAATAAATTTAATTAAAATTCCAAAAAGACTAATTGAATTATTAGAAGAAAAGAAGAAAATCTAAAAAAAAATTAAATTTTACTTTATATGTTAAATATTATTTTTTTAGTAAAATAAGTTCAGATTTAACATTAATTCATAAAAACTTTTTTTGGATTTTCTCACTTTTCTCACTTCTATTAATAAGCTCTTATATGTAAAAAATAAAACTAATAATAATTTAGAATATTTATAAAATATAAAATTATAAAACACTTACAACTAAAAAAATAATTAAAATAATAATAATAGTTTACAAAATTAATCAATAAATAGTAATAAGCAAAAAAATATTTGTCAATATCAACATGAAATTTATTTAAATAAATTAAACAAACAAACAAAAATCTTATAAAAATTTCAAGAAAATTAATTAAATTATTAGAATTAAATAAATTTGCAATGATTTGTAGTAAATGTTGAAAAAACTTAATAAAAATCCAGAATATTTAGAAGCTAAAGAATATGAAGAAACAATTTTTAGAAAAAATGATAATAAAAAAAACATATTAAAAATAAGAAATTATATTTATTTATTTGAGATATTTTATATATTGGTAAAAAATTAAAACAATTTGAGTCAGATAATCAAGAAATTATAGTAAAATTAATATTTTAAAAGCTGATTTGCCACCCAGTAATACAAAACAATTAACAATTTATAATTAATTTTGATAGAATTTTACATATTGATTACTATTGCTTCTGAATGATATTTACATCAGATTCAAAAATATGACTTAGAAATATAAATATCTACAATTTTATTAACAAAAGGAATTATAACATCTGAAATGCATTATGGTATATTTACGTAAAATTGGTAGTTTAAAAAAAAATCCAAAAATAAAATATGGGAACATTGATTCCTTATATCTTGTTTGCTCAAAAGAGTGTTTCCAGGAATATGATAAGCTATATGACTATGATAATATGATCCCAAAAGAAAAATATTGGTCTTGAATGGTAGAAATCTCTATAGGAGAAATAAAGAAACTTCGCAATGAAGTTAATAGCTTTCTCAGGAAAGATAATAGATCTCCTTATCTCAAAATACTATATGAGAAAGTTTTATTTCTGATAGTATTTACTGGAAAGAAAAAATACTATGACATTCCATATGAAAGCAAGCTGAACTTTAATAAAAGCTTTTTATTTGAAGAGTTGAGGTAATAAAGCGAGAGCAGTCTAGTATTTTCTGAAAAATAGGGAAACATATTATGAAAAAGTTTACGAGGATAAACAATACACATATCTTATATCAGGTTGTAAAGAACGTGCTCAAAAAAACTGTAAGGAATATTTCTCAGATAAATCTTAATGAAATAATTAAAACTGCTGTGTAGAGGCCTGATAAAAATAATAAGAGTGTATAGCACTTCATTTTATGAATGCAAGATAGACATACCTGTGAAGAAGCAAATGCCAAATGGCTCATAAAAAAGGGCCTAATATCTGAGCCTTATTTTTATGAAATTCCAGAACCAGGCGAGCAGTTTGAATATATTGTAGTTGAGAATGATTTATCATAGCAGGTAGGTGATAAAATGGAATACCCAAAAGTGACAAGATGTCTTGATAAAAAGATTAATATTAACTATTATCTGAAAAGTGATGTTGGACTCTGTGTACGATTTATAACTATGATGATAGACATCAGTTATCATTTGAAATTCTGAAAGCCTTAAAAAAGTTAAAAGATGGGATCTTAAAGGGGTTTGATAATGAAGCGGATAAAGATGATATGGATGAAGATGAAATGGATGAAGACGTATTAGATGAAGACAAGGTATCAAAAATAAGAGATGCTTTAGCACAGAAATCAGCTGAAAAGTGGGTTAGAGACTATATCAAAAACCTTTATGAAAGCCTGAAAAAAGATGAAGCCATTATATCTCATCTATAAAAGGAGTTTGCATTTACGCAAAAATTATATTTAATACTACTTATGCTGATAGAATAGTAAAATGCTCAGAAAATAATGCTTATTACACTTCTTTTCTCAATGTGTTAGATAAGTAAGAGGATTCTATCTGCTTAAAACTTTTATCATTGCTTAAAGAAATTTCTGAGATTAATATAGAATATAGAGACAGTATATATAAATTAGTTACTAAGAAGCGAGCAATGTTCTTAGAACAATATTTAATATCATATTATTTGGATGAGTATAAGCTACTAGCAAATTTCTGAAACACATGGTATAAAGTGGTTAGCCTAGAAATCACATGCTACTGAATGTTATCAAAATTATAGAATGGTAAAAAAGATGATTTGTCTGAAGCTGATATAGATAATATCATCAAATTATATAGATAAGTACTCTTAGTAAAATGTAGCAATTTTAACTAAGAATACTTAGCTGTTAAGGCACTTCACGTAATATTATTTACATATTTTTTCTCGTGCAATAATACTGGCTAACTTCAATTTCTATCTTCGAACTTCCAGCCTCCGATCATATAGCCCAACCTTAGAAATGCCTGAAGATGATAAAAATTAGTTCTGGTAAGAAGAATACTCAGTATTATTTTTTTTTCATGAATTCTATATTTTTTTCTAATGATCCATATAATTACAAGAAGAAATAAGGTAAGTACAGTAAACTCTTGATATAACGAATTCTAGGATCTGAATATCAACTTCGTTATAAGCTTATAATGAATTTTTTAAAGAATTTA